GGTGTGTGCGTGCGTGTGTGTGTGTGTGTGTACACACATACACAACATACATCCCTGCACAGGCCCCAGAGATACACAGCGGGCACACACAGAGCCGTATAGATGGTGTGCGTGGGTGTGTATGTGTGTGTGTACACACATACACAACATACATCCCAGTACAGGCCCTATACTCGAGATACACAGCTGGCACAGATACAGAGCCGCGAATAGACGGTGTATGTGTGTGTGTACACACACACATATACACAGATACACAACATAGATCCTAGTACAGACCCTAGAGATACACAGCGAGCACAGACACAGAGCCCCGTATAGATGGTGTGTGTATACACACACACACACACACACACACACACACACACACAATATACATCCCAGCATAGACTCTAGAGATATACAGCGGGTATAGATACAGATACCCCCCCACACACATCCCATATATTTATATAATACAAAGCCATATTGTTATGGAATATGAATATAAACATCCTAGCACATACATAGATACATCAGCAGGCATAGATATATCCCCGTATATATGTTGTGTGTGTGTGTTTGTACACACACACAGATAAAACATATATACAGTACATAGCCATATTGTTATGAAATATGAATGTAAACATATTAGCATATCCCTATACATACATCAGCGGGAATCGAGATAGATCCTCATATATATATGGATCTCATATATACACATGCTATATATATGTGTGTGAGTATTTATGTGCACATACATTATATATATTATACACACACAGACACCCAAACACCAACATATATATGCGCAAGTACATACACACACATACACACGGTTTCATACATGCTCACCCCTATACACTACACGAACAGGCATAGCCACACATCTGCATCTAGTGTAGCTCTAGTCTCGATTTAGGGTGCTCGGCGTGTTCCAGGCCCCCCCGCCGCACACAGCCTGTGTCTACACTCCCGGAGCGGAGTCCCAGCTTAGCCCGGCTGACACCGGCTTCAGTTCCAATTATTTGACAAAACACTCGCCGGGGATCTCCCCTTCCCCCTGCAAGCAGCTCCCCCACCTGTATCCACGAAGAAATCCCCCGGCGGTGACTTGCTCTGGGGGGTCCCCATCTCTAGCAACAACCTGGGGAGATGGGGACACCGCTCTCCGCCCTCTGCCCGAGAACTCCCGTCTGCGGGCGGGTTCCCAACTTCTCCCAAGTGGATCCGGTGGCCGGCGCAGCATTTTGCTGGCCGCCAGGAAGACTGTTTACTTCCCACGAGCTGCCTGGCTGCTCCCCTTTCCCAGCCTGCGCCCCCACTCTGCGGAGCCCCCCGGGCACTTCCTTCCCGCTCCTGCTTCTCGCCCTCCGACTAGTTTTATAAAACAGAGGCAACCCGCTTTCCCAGCCCTGGGCAGGAATCTGTCCCCAGGAAGATCCCCCCCGTCTTACCTTGCTGACACACACACTTTTTGGGCCTCTCCCCAGCTCACAGTGCCGCTCACCCCCCTCCCTGCACCACGGAGGCTCCTCTCATTGCCAGTTTTCTTTATTATGAAATCGATGAGGGGAAAAAAAATGCCTTACGTTGCATTGGCACGCCAAGAATCTCTGGAAGCCCCTTGGCTGAGCCTTCTGTGGTGAGCGCTGCGCTTTGCATCATTTTATTGAAACACGGGGGGAAAATAAAAACAAACGGCCCGTTTATCTCGCTAGGAAAATAAAATAAAATAAAACATGAAGTTGAAAGTACAGTCAGGGCGGATCCGTCTGCACGTGCAGGGGAACCGGGGCGGCCCTGCTGTAGCCCTGGTCTGGCGCAAATCCCTTTCGGTGCTTCTATCCCGGGTTAGCGTCTCCTGGCTTAAGGGGGTGATGCTGCAGCAGCTCTTTTCGCTGGAATGCCGGTCCCCTGAAGGCAGGTTTGATTCATTCACACTGCAGGGAGTGAGCGTGACGTCACTTTCCGCAGGGAGGCCCCGCCCCCTCCAGCCAATCCCCTTACATCATGTCAGAAGTTGGGGCGGAGACAGCTCCAGCCTAAGGACAGAGCGCAGGTAACGAATTTTGGGGGCGGGGCCGCCTGGCGGAGTGGGCGCGGCCTGCGCCTTTGTGGGCGTGGCTACCTGGCATTCAGCTCCTCCCCTGCCCTCAGTGGGCTATAAAAGGCAGCGGAGGCAGCAGGTGGCTCACAGCTGCCTTGTCCTGCTGGCTTTGCGCAGCCCTCCTCTTTGGTCCCAGCGTCTCTTAACTCCGGGGGATACCCCCGGGGACAATCGCAGCCCACCTTACTGTCCCTCGTGTCTCTGTATTCCTGC